AAAAAAAAAAAAAAAACTATTAGATGCAGTCAGCATTCTGCTATAAGATAGATGTTTTCTCGTTATGATGTGGTTTTTTATTCATCATGTTCTTCTACGCATCTATTAGATTAGATGCAGCCAACATTCTGCTATAAAATAAATGTTTCATGGAGCGGGGTACATGTCACATGTCATCTAAACTTTTTAATGTATTTTAGTTTGTTACTTTTTAATTATCACAAATTTAACCGTGTGAATTGATTCACAATATCTCTACATTCAATTTTACAACATACTCTACATTCATTTAAGATTGATTTTCATTTGCTAGTGATTTATAAAGTTTGATTATTAATCTGACCAAACATTTTGCTTATTGATTTATAAAGTTTGATTATTTTTTTGACCAAACATGAAGATGAACTTGTTGGATCAATGTTGTTAATCTAAACAAACATAAAGTTTTTCATATTATTTTTTTAGCCTTTATCAGTTTGTAACGTTTTATCAATGTAGAAAATATTTTCATGATTTTTTATTTATTACACGATTTGTTGATTTATTAAGCTTTGAACAATCTATGAAAATTATTAAGTCACCTTCTGGCAAATATGTATGGAGATATGTGTTCGTGTCTCATAAGTCACAAACATAATGAACAACATTACAAATTATTCAAACTTTTATTCATTGCACATATATTAAAATAGTTTATATAACATTCATTAAATACTACTTTCAATATATTTATAAATAAAAAGTATATAAAATTTTTGGTGTGTTCAAATTTAAATAATTTTTGATGGCTCAATTTTAACAAATAATATGTACTTTATAACCTGATATAACCTGATATAATTTTTTACAAATAATTTGAATATAACGTGATATAATTTTTTGCAAATCTCCTAAGGTATTGTTTGGTTCAAGGGATTTGGATGGAAGGGAGGGGAGGGGATGAAGAATTTTAATTTTCCTTTGTTCGGTTGCAAAACTAGGAGGGGAGGGAGAGGAAAATTTTAAGTAATTTTCCCTCCCCTCCCTCACTTTTTCTCCCCCCCCAAAATTGGAGGGATTTGGAGGGGAAATGTTATTTGATGATGTTAAATGATTATTTAGTCCCTACTTTCAATTGCTTTTTATTTTTTATCTTACTTCATTAAGGGTAAGTTTGTCATTTTAATTTTATTTTCCCTTCATTTAGTTTTTGAACCAAACAAAGTTTATCATTTTCCCTCCCTTCCCCTCCTAAATTATCCATCCAAACAAGGGAAAATTATTCTACATCACCTCCCCTCCCCTCCCTTTCTCTCCATTAAAATTCCTCCCCTCCCTTCCCCTCCATTGAACCACACACACCCTAAGATAAAGTCGTTCGACAACAACCGAACAACCCTGCCTCAAGGAAACAAATACAGTTGGTGATTCGGTTAAATCATACAATGACGACGCTTAATCACATCAAATCCCAACATTTTACATCACATGTACTATTGAAAAGAGATAATAACGTGTAATCTCTCATCCATGCATGGGTATGAGTTACATCAGCTATATTATCAACCTTACATAACATAATTACACAACCCGTTGGGCCTTCTCAGAAACAACAATGAACAAAGGCATGCAATTTGTTCAAGCAGACTCGGCAAAACCCAGACGAAGATTCCCATAGTCGAATACAGTGTGATATGCGCCCATGAACACATCTCCAAGAATCCTGCACGCCCGCTTATTTAGTTTGGAGCATACTTTCACATTACCGTTGGTAGGTAAAAGAGTAAAATTATGGAATAACTGCATGTCTAGTCGAAATCGCCCGGGAACTTTAGCTTTTGGAGATTATGTCTGGTTTGTAAACCGAATTTCGAAATTTTAGCCAAAACCAATGACTCTTAGTAAAGGGAAACGTGCTCAGAAAGTGCTGAGTGGACCGTAAAAATTTGAATCAGTTTGAATAAATCAATTTTTTCGTCCCAATCTTGATTATTGCCGTATCTCCAGAAGATCTAGAGCACTTGTGAAATTTGCCAATTTAATGGACATGAAAGCTAGATAAGCAAATTTTAATGAGAATTTTCTCCAATTTTCCTACCAAATACCAAGAACTGATTAGAACAGCTAACTTTTGCAGGTGCTTTTTCCTTCTTTGTTTTTTTCATTTTTCAAAATACAGGTCATTCCTAGAAATCGGGAACAAGGATATATTGCACGTACCACAAGGGTCCTCGAGGAGGTGGCACATCCAAAGCCATGAATCCACTTATGCAAATAGCTGAAACACCTTCACCGGTTTTTAGAATGTACTGCCAAATAATAAAAACAATTCAGAAAAGGGTTATTCAAAACAGATTCCTTCTTTATAATCCTAAAAAAAGATTAAACAAAGGCATGCAAGCAGTGTTAGCTCATTAGGTAGAAAACATTTCACAGCTTCAGGGATATAATTAAATAAATGCTAACCGTTAAATATTTCACAGGACCAGAATATGGCATTTCTTTTTTTCTTTTGATACTATGTCTATTAGAATTAAGCACGCTCGTACATCCAGTAACTAAATGGCATTCGGACCTGTTCTGGAGAGAGATCGTACGCTTTCCCTCCAATGGTAAAGGTGACATTAGGCATGTTTGATATAGCATTGCAATCAATTATGGACTCTCCTCCTGGACTCGGTATGCTCTCACATAACTACCAAGCAACAAAAGTCATGTTTCAACACAAAAAATTTCATGCGCATTTCCCAGTAAATTAAGAAGAAAGATGTATTTCACTTTATAAGGAGAAATTTATGCGAGTTATTAAGAGCACCTTATTCACGTAATCCAACACTTTATCCTTAACTCCTTCATTCTTAAGCTGATTCTTCATCCAAACAACAGCCATCTCACAAGCACTGCATAATGGATTATCTCCAACTGATTTTTCCTTATTGTCTTTATCCACAACCATTTCAAGATTTGAGCTGCAATGAACCGGGGCAAATTATCAGCCTCGAGTTAAATATTCTACTCGGGACAAACCTAAAGGATCAAATGATGATATTGACATTTGTCATTGAAGGAGCAACATTAAGCTGCTGTCTCATTGAGATTTTTTATTCATCTGGTTCACCGAAAAAGTAAGCCTATGTTTGGAAATACTCAGTACATGTTTGAGTAGCAGCCAGAGCTCAAAGGTCAAATCAGGGACTTGAAAGAATTACAAAGGTTCAATAACAGCTATACATTTTCAGCTATATTTAAAATTATAGACACTAACGATAGAGATCAGATACTAGAGTTGTTTCAACCCCTAACATTAAGCAAAAATCCACAATCAGATATCACAACTAGACCGATAAAAAAAACCAGGAATTTAAAGTGGTCAGACCTCAAAGACTGGGCCCCATCAGAAAAGCATAGTCCTACTTGTGAACAAACTTGATCAGGATTTACCTGCAGAGAGGAACAGCTATTTTTAGGCACATAACATGGTTCAAGGGGGAAAAAAAACTAAGAAAAGAGAGAGAGAGAGAGAGAGAGAGAGAGAGAGAGAGAGAGAGAGAGAGAGAGAGAGAGAGAGAGGTAAAACATAGAGATACCCCAGCAACGAGGAGGTCCCAAATCATCTCTCCGTATTGAGAGACAATTTCTTTACACTCGGTGCTGACAACGCCTTCTGCCCCAATGGCATGATTGATTTGCGTCACAATAGTCTGACATTATAGGTAATTCAGAATATATCAATATTTTAAAGAAAAATGCTAGATCCGAGGAAAGCTCGAGCTATCCTTGTGAGAATGAACCAAACAGTAAAAAGGTGGACACATACAGTTGGACCAGTAAGCAAGGATGTTCCAGAATCAACAATAGCAGCACAACCACCCTCACAAAAACCTGATGAAGTTTACAGATAAGAGAATTCAGACAATTTCAAACCCAACAAGAAAAACATGTTATTCTAGAACAATCATAATGCATAACTTACCAGTCGACTGATTCCCAACGAGGAAATCACCCATTTCAAACTGGTAAAGAAAAACAAATAATTTATATGAACAGGTGAGGCAGAAAACATGAAAAAATAATCAAGAACATGAAGTGAAACAAAAATTACGTTACATATTAAGTAATCTTATCTTGTTCGCATACCTGCCAGTACCCCTTTTCTGTCACAGGGACATAACTGTGATTTCCTTTGAAGTGATCGGGATCAACTCCCCCAAGAACTAATTCACCTCCCACTTCTGCCTCAGGGTCACGGTTAAACCAAAAAGAAAATATCTTCTCTTCTACCAGACCTTGATCCACCATATTGTACCTATCATTTTTGCAATAACAATAAGTTCTATTTAAGATATTAAGTTCAATACGAAAAAACTAGAAGGATAAGTACCACACTGGGACTGCATCACCAACAGATATTTCCTGGAAACCAAGCCCAAGTATTCCATCAAATTTTGCCAAGACAAAGGTAAGGCTTCCCTCTCGTGTAGCCTCAATAAAAACCTGCAAATGATAATCATGAAGTTAGGCAGATGCATAAAAAGAGAAAGAAAAAGAACAAAGGACTAATTCTGCTATCAAAAAGACCAAAGTGAATAAAAGAAAAGGTAAGAAAGGAATCTAACTTGATCGTTGACAACAACATCGCCAACTCCCACATTATCCTGGCTAAAATACCCGGAGATTGAACCAGAGCCATAACTGATCGAGCAAGGCTTTCCTGAATATTCAACGATTTAATTTATAAAATATCATTTGTAATAGGCATTGCAGGGTGATTTATAAAACGCTGCACGGCTCAGAAATTAAAATCCCATACCAATCTTTGTATATGTACTGGACTTGCCGGACTTGTACCTTGAATGGAAGTAGCAAGCAATCTGGAAATGAAACTCACTAGCTAAGCCGAACACCGGAAACATAAATGAACCTAACAAGTCTATTAAACGAGAAATTACTCACTGAGAAGTAACATTTTCCGGAGGGGACCCACAGATTGGAACTGCCAGTGTCGAATATAACAGTGAATTTCTGAGGAGGTGAGCCAATACTAATCTCCCCATAATATTGGGCATCCAAGTAGTTCTTCAAGTACACTATATCTCCATTGGAATCACTCAGTTGGAGTCGCCTGTTACCAACGCCTAACCCGTTCTTCCCCTCCGATCGAGCTTGTTTGGCGGAACTAATGGTTGACTGGTCCAAAGGCCTCTTTTTCAGGCTAATTTTCCTCAGGCCATCAGTAGAAGGAAATAAGGAGCATATGACGGCCCAAAAACAGAAAGCCGCAAACAGACTGTGAAGCTTCATTGTTTTAGGTTGCCTGTACAGGTAACATCATAAACAGCCAGTCAATACTCATTCAAGAAAACAACAGTTAGGTATAGCCAACTATGAGAGAGCAGACTGGTTCTTGATAACACTCTAGCATCAAAAATATGTGCATCCCTCCATACTATCAGTCTATTATCCAGCATAATGTTCATCAAAAAACAAACTTGATCATAAAAATTGGTCAATACGTAATCCTTCAACTGACCTTCATCCACCACTCTTAACACATTAAAACACACACACACACACACACACACACACACACACACCAAGAAAAAGACAACAATAAAGGGGCCAGAGAGAAGCCCATGACACCCTGCTTCACCTTCAACATATTTTGATCAAGCAACTCAGTATAATCAAGTCTCAAACTTATCCAATAAACATATAAAGCTTTCTCAAGGTAGTAGCCGATGAGCAAGAAACTTACAGAAAGGAGATGATCGCTAAGCAACTCAGTATAATCAAGAAAGATAGAGCCCAACTGATGTAGCAGAGCAGAACAAGTTATGGAGAGGATTTT